AGAATCTTTATTTAATTTAATTTTAAATTTTTTATTTTGTATTTTAAATTGATTGATAGAAGGATTTAACTCTTCTTCAACAGCTTCATATCTAACCATTTGTAGTCTGTAACATCCATCTTTATCATGAGTATATTGAAATCTTGTATGACCACTAGGTAATTGCAATTGATGTGTTTCAATTAAATGTTTTGTTAATCTATAGCTTTTTCTATATTTTATTGGACATTCATGACAGCAATACCATCGCACTTGCATACTATGAATTCGTTCAATATGCCTTAAAATGTAGTTTTATTTTTAAAAAATAATGCAAATTTTTTTATAATTAATGAAAATAAAATTTTTTTTGATCTTTTTTATTTAAATTTTCATTAAATAAAAATTTCATTTAAATACCTATCAAGAGTATATGCACCCTTGCATTTATATAGACATCCTTCAAAATGACATGAAAAATTAGGTCCATTTGTATGAACTGTCATGTGTGAATCTAAATCTTGTTGAGATTTAGCAGCATGATTGCAAAGTTGACAAGGAAAACTTCTGGTAGAAACATGTCGATATCTAACATGTTTAGCTAAACTGGCTGGTGATTCACAACTCATATCACAAAGACTACATTTATAATTAAAAACATGCATTTGCATGTGATCTCTCAAAATTCCTTCAGTAGGATAAAACTTATTACAATGAGAACACTGGAATCCTTGAACTAATAAAAATTATTTTTATATAAACAATGTTTTAATATAAATTATTATAAATATTAAAAATAATTTATTTATCAAATCCTAATATTTATTCTAAACATTTTTATAATTAAAAAAATTACTCATAGTATTTTAATTGTAATGTTTAAGTATAAAGAATAAAAGAATTAAAGAATAAAAATTTTTTAAAATTTTACCATCAATTGGAATTTGTCGTTTGCAATGTACATGGAATTTTGTATTAGAAGCAAAAGTAGCACCACAATCAGGACAAGCAACAATTTTTTCCTTTGTATGATGTCGTATATGATCTCTCAATTTGTATAAATTAGGATATAAATTGCTACAACCTGTCCATTTGCATTCTAAACCTCCTTCAACTTTGTTACCTCTTGGACCTTCCTGAATATGAGCAGCTACATGATATAAATATAATTGATAATTTCTAAAATATTTCAAACATTCTTCCCAGCGACAAAGAAGTGGTGCTGGAAGATCTACAACATTTTTCCATTCAGAATCTCTACAACATTTCTGAAATATATAATTTATAATTTATATGTTATTATATATATATTTATATGTTATATATATATATATACTTTTTTCTTATAAATACTTATATACTCATATATTATTCCAATTTATTTTTAAATCAAATAAGTTAAAAGTAATATAAAAGTAAATTTTTAAATTTTAATTTAATTAAAATTTATATTTAAATAATATCATTTTTTTATTTCAAATAAAAATAAAATATATTATTATATATATTTATATATGTTTACGTTATTTTATAAAATAAAATTTATTTATAAATTTATAAAATAAATTTATTTATTATATTAAAAAAATAATATATAGCATATATTAAAAAAATATAGTAGAAATAATTACTTACAGGTAATTTGATTCTAGTACGAATATTTGATCCAATGCATTTTAATTTAGTATGATAAGCATGATAATTAACATGCCTAGAAATCTCATCAGGATCATTACTTTCATATAAACAACCGCTCCATTGACATATATAAACATTAATGTCTTTTTCATTAATTCGCGTATTTAAATCTGACACGTGCGTGGCCACGTGATTTATAAATTTCTCAACATGATTGGCTTCATATTTGCAACTGATCCATTCACAAGAGAGATGATAAACTTCATGTTTTACTGGTAAACCAACTCTTCTTCTTTTTGCACCATTTTCTGATACGGAATCAAATTCAGAATCAGTATTATAACTATCATTGTCGTCTATCTGTTTCCTTTTAAATTGTATTTCATCAATATATGTAAAATTTTTTTGTGATTCTATCCAATCATTACACTGTTTTTGTACATCTTTACTAGTTATTAAATTTTTTGCAAATTCTGCCATTTTCTTAATTTAATTTAATATTTATATTATAAACTTATTATGCATTCAACTTTTGATTTTGCATTATAAATATTTATATTAAAATGAATAAAACACTTAAAAAATTCTTTTTTAATTTAAAAAGAAATATTTAATTTTTATTTAAATTGAAAATATTAATCTAATTTTTATATTCCTGTCAATGATCTCGCTCGACTTACTTATATACTTAAATACCTAACCTTATGTGAAAAAAGTATAAATGAAATACATAGTGTCATATCACATTTAAAAAAAGTTTAAAAGTTTATATACTAAATAATCAAATGTTACGAATATTTTTAAATAAAAATATTTGGAAGTTAATGACTTCAAAAATAAGGAGACATACAGTTTTTATTCCACATCAAATTTTACATCAAAAACACTTTGATGAATCTAAATCATCCACAATTTACGCACTTTCTTCTGGTTGTTCTATTTTTTCCCGTATCTTTTGCAATATTTATATTTTCATCAAATTAATGTATAACTTTAAAAAATTGTATAATATATGTGTAATTTAAAATCATCGATACTGTTTTTTATGACAAATATTTTACATTTCGCTAATTTATTTGCGCATGCGTTTCATGATCGTAAATTTAATTATTTAAAATATAATATATTATATTGTATATATATGTATATATAAATAAAAAAATATTGTTTTTATATGTATATATGTATATATATAAACAATATCTTTTTATTTATGTTGTATTTTAAATTAATTATAATTAATTATAATTCGATAAAATGATTTTTAAAATAGAACAAATATAAAAATACTGATAATATTTTTATATTTGTTATTTTTTTATATTTTTGTTTAATTTTTATATTTATTTATTTACATATTTTTATACTTAATTTATTTATATTTTATTTAAAAAAATTATTTTGAATTCAACTTAAATTATTTTAAATTATTATAATGTTTTTGTTATATGATCTCATTAATATGAACTTATTAATCTGTTTAAATCATTAAATAATAAAATCTTTTTATATTAAAGGATATGGAAAATGTGGAGTAGCAGTAATTCGAATATCTGGTCCAAAAGCATTAGTAGCTTTAAAAAGAATGACAAAAATATCTGAATTAAAACCTAGAATGGCTCTTTTAAAAAAAATCTATGATCCTGAAACAAAAGAAATGTTAGATAGAGGTTTATGTCTTTGGTTTCCAGGTAATGATAATATAATTTAATTAAATAAAATTTTAATAAAATGAATTCAAAATAATATATGTGAATTAATATAAAAAATAAAATTAAATATAAACAATTAATTTAGGACCCAATTCATTTACTGGTGAAGATTGTATAGAATTTCATGTTCATGGTGGTCCTGCAGTAATTACATCAATCCTAAATGCTCTTGCAAAGCTACATTTTCAATTAGCACTTCCTGGTGAATTTACAAAAAGAGCATTTTTAAATGGAAAATTAGATTTAACTGAAGCAGAAGGTATAGGTGATTTAATCGAAGCAGAAACTGAGAAACAACGTAAACAGGTAAAAATGAAATCAATCTGATAAATGAAATCATTCTATAAAAATACTTTTTTATCATTTCATATTATTATATTATATATTATATCATATATATTAAGAAATTATATTTGTATTATAATTGTATTATAATATAATATATATTATATTATATTTTCTACTAAAATCTTAACAGGCTTCTAATCAAACAATTGGTTCTCTTTATCATATCTACGAATCATGGCGTATTATTCTTTTAAATATTCTTGCTAATTTAGAAGCTTATATTGATTTTGCTGAAGAGCATGATGTAACTTCTAATGTTTTACAAGATACTAAAATTAATATTCAAAAATTATATGTAAAAATACAACAACATCTTTCTGATGAAAGAAAAGGAGAAATTTTACGTAATGGAATACATGTAGCAATTCTTGGAAAACCTAATGTAGGAAAAAGCAGTTTTTTAAATCTTCTCTCTAAAAAAAATGCAGCTATTGTTACATCTTTGCCAGGAACAACAAGAGATATTATAGAATTAACAATAGATATCTGTGGATATCCAATGATCCTTGCAGACACTGCAGGGATTAGAAATGATCCAGAAAATGAAATAGAAATAGAAGGTATTAAAAAAACAAAGGAATATTCAAAGAAAGCTGATTTTATTATATGCATAATTAGTGCAGAAAATATTGTAAAAACATCTTTGGAAGATTTTCTAAAACAATATAAGAATTTTTTGGAAATAAATAAAAAAAGAGTTCTTTTAATATTAAATAAAATAGATTTGATTAAAGAAGATGAAATAGAAAGTTGGAGAAAACAAAATGTTATTCCTATATCATGTAAAACACAAGAAGGTTTAAAAGAACTTATAAATGCATTGGGACAATGTTTTGAAGAAATGTGAGTGTATATATATAAAATTGAAAATTAAATAAGTGTTATAAATAATTTATTAAATGTTATAATAAAACATTTATATTTTTATTATTTTATTTTTATTATAATTATTATAATTAAAACTTATTTTATTAATTTATATCTTTAATTTCAGATGTGGAAATCCATGTAAAGAAAATCCTATTATCAGTCATGCTCGATATAGAAATCATTTATTGCATGTTTTAGATTATCTTAAATGCTATTTAGAAAAAACTGAAATACCAAATTATGACATGGCTATATCTTTGCAGGAAATTAAAAATGCAGCAAGAGAACTTGGTAAAATAACTGGTTCTATTAATAATGAAGAAATTCTTGATATTATTTTTAAAAATTTTTGTATAGGAAAATAAAAATGAATACATTTAAAAATTAATATTTATACTTGGTATTTATTAATGAAAATTCATAATCATTATTTATGAAAGAATATATAGCACATTTTTATAATAAAATATAAAAAAAAATTCTGTTAAAGAATTCAAAATTATTATTAAAAACATAATTGTCAATTTTCAGTTTTCTTTTCTTGTTCTGTTCCTAAATGAGCTATATTTATTTCATCCAAATTTATGTTTTGATCTTTCATTGCTTGCTGAAACATAATAATGTACATTTTTTAAATTGTACCAAAATAACAATTGTTTAGTAGTAAAATATAAATAATAATAATTTGTATATTTGAAATATTTATAAAATGTAACATAACACAAAATAATTATATAAATTTATATTGACTTTATATAATTTCAAACATAGAAATTAATAATAATCATAATTCTTAAAATTATTGAAATTTTGACAAAAATTAAATTTTTATATTTATATTTAATACACGAAATTTATTAATTTTTATTATAGTCCATTTTATCTAGATTAGAAGATTTTAAGATAGTTCTAAGATTTATAATTTTAAAATATAAAAATTAAAATCTAAATAATCACACACATTTCAAATAATTTTTTTATTATAATATATATATAATAATTATAAAATAAAAACTTTACTTTAAATAGATAAAAGTCAGGTTAGAATTTCAAAAATAAAGAAAGTTAATTTTTGTCACATTTAACTTACCGCTACACACTTGGTATAAACTTTAAGTAATGGTGCACATTCACTATCATCATAAATTCCGCGTAAAAATTTTTCAGAGAACCAATCATTAAAACAACGGTCATATTTTGCTTTTAATTCTTTACAAGCTTCCATAATTTATGTTAAATTTAATTAATTGCACATTAATTTAAATATTAGTGGATTGAAAATTAATATTACGTTAATAATTAATTATAAAAATTTTGCTTCATTATTCATTGTGTTCAAAAGAAAATAAAATTGTGCAATCCATACATTCCATGCATTACAAATGATTTTCATTATTACTGTGCACAACACATATTGCATTATTTTACATATTTTTAAGGTTTAATTAAAAAAAAAATAAATATAAGAAAAAATAAATATAATTATATTTTTAACAATTATTTATATTTTAATTTATTTGTAATAATTGTAACTGAATCCATTTTTACAAAATTTAAAAAAAATTTCCAAAATATTATATAATTTACATTATATTTATTATATTATATTATATTTTTTAAATAATTTTCAATTTCATGATACATATATTTTTGATATATATATAAAATTGTAATTTTTTTATTTTTCAATTGAACATTTAATTCAAATGGAATTTTATAAAAAGAAAAAAAAATTGATTACCTGAAGACATTGATTATACAATTTGAAATGATTTGAGCACATTGAATCATCTAAATCTCCTTTAAGAAATTTTTCGGAAAACCAAAGCTTAAAGCATCCGTCATATTCTTTTTTAAGATTATTACAAGCTTCTGCAATACTATTCATTTAATATTTTTATTTATTATTAATTTCAAAATATACTTTTAGTCAAGTTTTTTTTAATTTTTTATATAATTAGTAATACCTATAAAAAATATATATTAAATGAAATTAGAAATTAATTAAAATAATTTATTTAAATATTATTAATTTGATTGTAATTATCGATTCTATAACATTTAATATCGATTAAAATCGATTAATCGGACTTCGTTTATTCAGAACTATATATTTCATAATGATAAATTGTCTCGTTAAATTTTATTATAAAATTCATTTAATCGAATATTATAATTTAACATCCAGAAAATGATTATGATTGAAAAAAATTTAAAGTAACTTACGTCAAAATAGTTTTAGATTACAAAATTAAATTTTAATAAACGAGGCACAAAAATAGCTTTTGGTTAGTAACGTATCAGGTAAATTAATGATCAACGGTTCTCAATTTGTTTTTCTTTAACATATGTTAAAGTAATATGTATTCATTATTCGCATAGGGAATTTCATGAATGTATGATTATTTAATAGAATTGAATATTATTTAATGGAAACATATCATTATTATGCTTCAGAAAATAGAATTCTTTTCTTCTTATAATTTAATAATTATTTTTAAAAAAATATATATCATTTTTCAAAATTTTGTCCCCATCTTTGAAGATAATAATATAAAATACAAATAAGATTCTATTTAATTTAAAAAGATAAATTATATAAATTTAAATATAAGCGAGAATACATTTTTATTTAATTATTTTAATATTTTAATAAGATTAATAAGATTTTAACAATTTATGTTAAAAGATACATACATATTTAAAAAATATATAAATATCTAATATATAAAATCACACTAAAAAGACAATTTATAAATGATAAAGAAAATGATGTAAAATGATATTTTTGAACATAGTTTGTTAAACAGCCTTAAATAAAATAAATAAATTGCAATTAAGATAGAGATTAAAAGTGAAAAAAAAATACTTTATAAATAATAAAAATTAAAAAGTTGAATTGTTTTATAATAATAATCGTAATATATCAATTGGAACTTGCATTGTTTGATCATCAACTAAGACAATATCAAATTTTTCCATATATGAAGCCAGACTACTTTCAACCTGTAAAAAATTCAATTTGTAAGTTTATTTCAAAATAACTATATATTACATATATTGTATATAATTATATATTGAAATTGTAAGATTATTTAAGACATATCAAATTATACTATATTCATAATTTCATTCAAATTAATTATGTATGTATGTTAATATAAATCAAATATAATAATCTAATATACATTTTAAATAAAAAATATATATTATTATTATTAATTATTTATATATTATTTATTAATATATTTGAATATACTACATAATTATTTTTCATAATATTTTTCAAATATGAATATATAAATTATTACTACATGAATACCTACATTATCATAAAGAAAACCAATTTTTAAAACAGCACATGTATTTAACATTCCATCAACCATTGATGCATCACCTATAGTATCACCCATTAAAAGAATATTTTTTCTTTTTTCAAAAACTTTAAAATATTCTTGTTCTATAGCATGTTCATTTTTATTAAAAACATGAATTAGTCCTTTATTTTGAAATCCTGCTAATTTCCCATCTTCATACTTAAGAAAATTTGAGATTATCTAAAAGATTAAAGTAATTTTTATTATTATATTTACTTTTATTTTATTACGTATATTATTATTATCATTAGTATTATATATTTTTAAAAAGTTAAATTTATAAAAAGAGTTGTGTTTAAAATATCATTACCTTTACATTATTAAATAAAATTTCTTGGTTTTCTAAAATAGCTTGAACAATATCTCCTAAACCAGCACTAAAAACCAGTACTGGAACTTCAGCAAGATATAATTTCGTTAAAAGTTCTTTTGTACCATCCCTTAAATTTGTTCCATAAATCTTGCTTACTTCTGATATTTCATTAGGATCAAAAGGTATTCCTTTTAGTATTTCTTCTGCAGCTATCATCCAATCTGTCATTGCTTCTGTTTTTATTTGAATTGATAAATCAGGATCTATTTCAATCGGCCTATACTTTTTATAAAGACGATTTGATTCTTTTGTATATATTTCTGGAAGTTGCTTGCATTTGCTAAAAATTCCTATTTTTTTTTTAAATTTCAAAAAAAATTGTATTTTATTTACTTTATTATAATAAAAATTTTATATATAAAATTATATATATAATATATATATTTTTTATTACAATAAAATACTAATTACATGTTTACATACCAAAACTACTAAGAACCTTTTTTCCATTTATATGTTGTTTTGTTAATGTTAAATCAAAATCTGTAACTATCTGAAATCAGAATTTTTAAGTGAAATTAAGATTATATTATGAATTATTTTATTATTATTAAATTATGAATAATATATATATATATATATTTAAAATAAAAATTTATGCGCATAAAAAATTAATATTAAAAAAAAATATTAATTAAATTGTTTAAAAACATTGTACCTGTAAAGAATTACATCCACCTGTCAACATTGTGTTTATTGTCCTTAATAAATTTTTTTTGTCCTTGACATGGACATGTTTTAATTTTAATGTTGGGAACTATATAAAAAAAAAGATATTTAAGGAATTGCTAAAAAAATATATTTTAAATCAATAGTTAAAGTTTAAAATTTTTTTAATATACATTGTATTCTTATATAAAGAAAATTTTACAGCATAAATATAAAAGAAAATTGTTCTTAAAGATTATTATTATTATCTCATCATGATGAATTCTATTATTTCTTTAAAATATTATTGAAAAAGGATTTTAATATAAGCAAAAAATTATAAAAAAGTTTCAATTAGTAATAGTGCATTTAACAATTAAAAACTTACAAACATAAGGAAAAAATATTTAATAAGAATTTATAAATATAATAAAAAGAAAAATAATTTCAATAATTAATTAAAATTTGGAGAAAAAAATTATATAGATCAGATTTATATTACTAATTTACATAGTAAAACTTTATAGTACTAATCAATAAATTATAATTTTATAACAATCAAGTATAAAAGTAATAAATTTTTTTTTTTACATTAGCTCATTAAAACTTTTTGAAAAATTTTTAAAATTTTTTGATTACATTACTTGATATTTAAATGTTTATATGATATATAATTGATATGTAAATTTATAATTAATATATTAAATTTATTATTAAATTTATTATTAATTAATATATTAAATTTTTTTTAATTTTTAAGTAAAATATTGATTTTTCTAAAAAAAACATTTTATATAAGAGATTATTAAGCAATTATATTTTTTATTTATTAATTTATTAATTACTACATATAATGTATTATTTATAAATTCAAATTTAATTTCATTCAATTATTTTTTTATTATTGCTAACATATAATATATATATATAATTTTTTATTGGTTTTATCTATTTCTTTCTATGTTAGTTTTTGAAAATAGAATAACAAAGTACAAACACGTGCACTGATTAATATTAACAAATAAAAATTATTATTAATATTAATATTAATATTATATATTAATATATAATTTATATACTTATTTCGATAATTAAATTTATGCATAGATTAATATTTTTATTAATGTTTTATTCTTTTTGTAGAAAACATTTAGACATATAACATAAATGAAAATTATTATTATTTACATTTTTTGTTTGTTTGTTTATTATTTGAATTAGTATTAAATTTTTTTATTTTAAATTTTATTTTTTATTGCTTATATTTTAGATAATTTCTTTATAGCAAAACTTTTGATAAATTTTTTATACCTATTATTTTTTAGATCTAAGTAATTATAAATTACTATATGATCATTATATATTTTAAATTATAATAAAATATTAATTATTAATTTTTTAATTCTTTGATTTTTGAATTATAACTAAAATATATTACAAAGTAATTAATAAAAAAGCAATCAAATTAAGGTTATGTTTCAATATAATAACCGCCAAAATATTAAAATAACATAACATTAAATACAATAGTCAAATAGGAAAAACCGCGAAAAATTTAAATTACTCACATCATCTAGATCTATTTCAGAAGTCATGTTTTTTTCTTGTGACGAAAATAAATTTTTTATAGCAGCCTATACTGTTTTTAAGGTATTGAAGAGCCGCCACTGATTTGATTAACCAATCAACTATAACGTGATTTATATAGATATCATGATTATTTTTTTTTATTGAATCTGAATTATATAAGAAGATTTTAAGATAATATAAATTCAAATCTATCTTCTTGAATAATATTTATTATTTCTAATAATATTTATTAAAAAAGGAAATAAGGTTGTAAAAATATGAATGTTCATTTTTTTTATAAAAAAGATATTATATTATATTATGGAGAATTCAATTTAAATATATAGGATATAGATATTTAAATATATAGGAATAATATAATATATATTTAAATATATAGGAATAATATAATATATTTGAATTTTAGATTAAATACATCATCTTCCCATTTTCTTTATAAATCTTTCATTGTAAATATTTTCAATTTATTATTAACATTATAAATGAATTATTTTTTCAATTTTCATTAATATTATAATTTATATAATAAAATTTGAGTTCCGTCAAAAATACAAAAATTTTTTCAATATAAAAAATTTACCATTGTAAAGATTTAATGGCAGAATGATAACTTGGACTGTGCTGCGAATAAAATTGAGCATACCATCTGCGATAAGCAAGTATGCTTTTATCTTCTTTGACCAAGAGAGGTTGTTTTTCGAACTTCTTTCGATTCCAAATGGCTACATCTCTTTCAAACATTAAGCATTCTGCTAAGAATAACATACTAGCATATGGACCAAGCAGAGGAGGAGAATATAGTAAATGAGTCACCTAATAATAAAAATGATAATAACAATAATTACAATAAAGAAAATATTTCTTAATAAATAAAAAAACAATGATTCAAAATAATGCAGTAATTAATTTTTTTACTGAAATTTAAATTTTTTCTAAGAAATAAGTTTATTATTTTTTAAGGAAAATTGTATTCTTTTAATAAATTAGTATATAATTAATAATATATAACATATAGTTAAAAAAAAATACAAATAAAATGTAGAAAAAAAATGTAGAAAAATTTTAATAATGTTATATATTTAAAATTTTAAGAACCTTTTGTAAAAGGGGTTCCATTGGTGTTACTGTCTGAAAAATACACATTGATCCCAAAGAAGTATGCATCATAAGTTCGACATATCCTGGGCCTATTTGTTGAACATTTACATCCAATTGTAAAAATTTAAATTTCTCAAATAGAATTAGACTGTGTCTTAAAGTCATATATGCTCTATGTCTTAAGTTTTCATCATCTTGTTTTATTGCTTTGATTTCTTTAGAATCTTGGGATTTTAAAAAAGAATTATGTGGTGTCCAATTAACGTTTGTCCATGAATGTCGAGCGAAAGAAGAAAAAAAATTTGCAATTTTTGTAAATATTGCTGGACCATGTACTGCACTAAGATGTGCTGAATCAGCACCATTTTCTGCAACTTCCTGAAAATTATAATATTTATATTATAATATTTTGTCTAACTTTATTTTTAATTAAATATTTTATTATTATCAATTTTTTATTTTTATTTGATATTGAATAAAATAAAAATCAAATATGGTTTATCTATAACTTTTAATAATTTTTTGTAAAATATTTATTTTTGTATATTTAATATAATTGTATAATATTTTCATTATTTTTGTCATATTAATTTTAACTATTTTAATTAACTAATTTTAATTATTTTTATTTTATTAATTAACATCTTAATTTTGTTTTAGTTGGGAATGATAGTTATGAGTTTCTTACCTGTTTAAACTCAAAACAACGATCATCATTCTTAGAATTTGTCATGGAGGCTGCAATCAAGGAGTCCATTTCTTATTTCAAATATCCATCAGCTTTATTTAACACATCTAAAAAAAAAAAAAAAAAGAAGAAAAAGAAAAAAAATAATACTAAAAGATCGCTGCCGATCTAAATGTTAATGATAATTTGGTTTCCTTGATTTTAGTTTCCATGATCGATTGAAATCTTTATTTTAATTATTCTTAATCTTCAAATATTAAAACTTTATTTTTTTTATATATATATTATAATATATTAGATAAAAATTTTAGAATAATAAAAACAAAATTTGAGTTTTCATTCAGTGTTTCATATTATTTTATATTATAAAATATTATTTATATTATAAAATAAACAAGTAATGAAATTGTATATAAATTAATTAAAACCTGACCTGTATATGACAATTAATAAGAAATTCATTTCGTCCATGATAACGCCATGTTCGATTTAAAACATGGCTAATTGTTTGTGGTTGCCAATTTGGTTCTAATCCCTCTGCATGGTACCAAACGAAAATAATTTCGTTAGCCTCACAACTTTTCCAAGTTTTAATTCTAGCAATATGTGGCACTAAAATAAAATATACACTATAATCAATATATAATATATAAACAACTTTAATAATTAAAATTGAAAAAGATAACATATAATTAAATAAAATTATAATTTGAATTACCTTTATCAGCATATGGGATATGATTGCATTGTCCATCAGAACCACGAAATTGCCAACCATGAAAAGGACATTCTAAGCAATCACCTTTTACACGCCCACCCTCGGCCATATTTGCACCCAAATGAGGACAGTAAGCATCTAAAATTCTTACTGTCCCATTATCTGTTCTTTAATAATAATAAATATTATTATTAAATTTATATAAAGATCAATTGTGCTTTTAACAATTTCTTGAATTAAAATCAATTATAAAATAAATTTTTTAATTTTTTAATCATTTAATCATTTTACATATAAATATTAAAATACCTGAAAACTGCAAAATTTTGTCCAAGTGCAGCTACATGTTTCACTTGACCTTTATCTAATTGAGAACTTTCTAACAAAGCAAACCATCCGTTTGGATAAACTGGAGGCAGTTTACCCAATTTTCGTTTCTTTGATTCTAAGTGATTAGCTAAAACTGTTTTGTTATCGCCTTCTAGTCTTAGATCCTAAAAAAATATTATATTTTTATATTATATTATATAATAATTATATATATATAAATATTATATTTTAATTTTTGAATTTTTTATTGTAATAAAAAAAATTAATTGAAATAATAGTCATGTAAATTTAATAATAGTTTTTTTGATATTGTAAATATTAAAATATCAATGAAATTACTTTTTAAGGAAATAAAATTTTAAATTTAGGATTAAAGTAATAATTAAATTTCTTAAAATAAAATTAAAACTTTTTAAAATTTGTTACAAAATTTGTAACAAAAAAGGAAAATAATAAAAAATCATCTAAAAGAAAAAAAAAATTGGAATCTTTTTTTAGTTCTCTTAATTATTTTTAATATCTAAATAGATATTGCATAAATATTATAAATATTTATAAAAATTATATTTTTTATACAAATAAATATGTATATATTATTATATATATAATATTTATAAATATATTTTTTTCATTTTAAAGTAGTTAATACAAGATTGAAATATGTCATGCTTTCCTTTTAAAGATTGAAAGAATCGCTGACACGAAGAAAAAGGATTCTACGACGTCAGAAAGAACGTCAAGAAATCTTTTACATTTGTAAACATAATGTTATCGTGATGTTCATGTCTGTGTGTATCGTTTATGTTAAAATTTATGAAATTGATTTAATAAAAATAAAAAGAAATGCAAAAAATTGAATTTACATAAGTTTACATTTTTTTTTATATTTTTTTAAAAAATGAATATTAATATTTTAATAAAGATATATGTATGTATATATTTATATATTTTTATTTTATAAATAATAATATAATATATTTAAATAAGTAATTAATAAATATTTTTTTCTTTATAATAAATAAATTGTATACAATAAAGAATATTTTATTTGTTTTTCTGTTAATTTAAAGAAAACTAAACTATTAAGAACGACTGAAATATCATGTAATTATGAAATATCAGTATGAGTAACTTTAAATCAAATCATTCTCAAATTTAATAATTATTTTATATCATAAATAATATATTATTTATGTAAATTTATGTAAATTTATTTTAAACTTAATGTAGTATTCTTAAAATTATATAAGATTTTTTGAATTTTTATTTTTTTCAGAGAAATTTAAAAAATTTTCTATTATCAAAGATATGTAAAATATAATTTTTATTAATGTTGCATATTTAATACCGATTCATTTTATATTAAATTGTTAATAATATCTATCACAATAATTTAATAAATTAATATAATTTTAATTATTTTCTTATTTTTTTTATAATCAATAAATAATTGTTTAATCGATTAATTTGAATCTTTACACTAATAAAGAGAAAAATAAAAGATGTGATATATGTAGGTAAATATAAGTAGGATAATGGTATCAAAGAAGACTCACTTTAATCCAGTTGATCTTGTACAAATAGGAAACAAGGAGAATACCAAAAAACAGAAGAAAAGCACCACCGAAGCTCCACCATCCGGCCATCGTTGTCTTCTTCACCCTCTGCCCCGAACGAAGAAAAGCAAGTGCACTCTAAAAACTTGTCCCTCTGGAACACCTTCGGAACCACCTCTCTTATTCTCCTTGCTCTCACTCCTCCTCTTTCTCTATTTTCTTCTTTCCTTCTCCTTCCAATCGATCTTTTCTGTTTTTTTCTTTCTTCCTTCCTTCTTTCTCTCCTCTTGCTCTCTTTCTCACTTTCTTTTTTCCTTTTTCTTTTCCTTCTTTCTTTCTTCTCCACTCTCTTCCTTCTTTTATCACTCTCCCGTTATCTCTCTTTTTCCTTTCTTTCTTTCTTTTTTCCTCTTGTACTACTACTTTTCTTCCTTCTTTCTTTTCTTCCTCTTCTACTATTTCTGCCCTTTTTCACATTGCTCTTGTTTGTCTCTTCCTCTCTCCCCTTTAATATTTTTCTACACCTGTTCCGATGCACTTTTTCAAACTTTATTTAATCTTTCATTCTTATATTCTGTAATTTTTCGATATTTTCGAAAATTCAAAAATGTTTTAAAAAAAAATACAAATCAATTGGAATAAAATATCTCTTCTATTTTTTATTTTCGTTCATTTAATTTCTCTTTTTTCTTAATTTTTTTTTCTTTTCTATGCGTCTCTCTTAACAGACTTAATTTTTTTGTAATAAAAATATTATTATATTTATATTTCTTATTATTTATATTTTTTTAGGTGATTAATTATTAATTAAAAACATCTAATTTAATGTCTAATCATTAATCCTAACTGTTATTATTATATATTTGTTAACTATTATTATTATATAGTTATATTATATATAGTTGTGTTATGTTGTGCTTCTCTTTATACTGCTAATTATATTGAACTTCTCTTTTAATTGAAATCTATTGGCACTAATGATGAAAATGATGAAAGATTTATATAATAGATATTTGCATAGAATTGAAAAAAATGAAGAGTCTACTAGACGGATTCCGAACCTTTGAGTATTTTTCGAACGACTGAATCACCTTATTCTTAGACAGAGCCTTTTATACCTTTCTGAAGTATATTAAAATATTTATTGCGAAAAACTCACCATTTTTTAATCATATATATTTCCAGCTTTTATTCAAATAAATATTTTTTTTTCTAAAATTTTTTTTCTAAAAAAATATTTATTATTCATTAATTTCAATATTAATTTCATGAAAAACACTATGTAATTTAATGTTTTTTATACAATATTTATTCTTTATAATCTAATAATTTATATTTCAGAATAGTTTATTTCTAAGTTTTATTATCTAAGTTTTTTTATTTTATTTTTATATTTTTATATATCTATAAACTATTATTGATTTGATTATCTTTATAATTGATAAACATTTTTTATTTAACTTTTAATAATCGTTTCGTAAATTATAATAATTAATTATTAATATTATTTCACTTATAATAATTATAGTTTCAGATAATAAACCAAATTATGAAATGAATTATAACGCATTATTGAATGTTAAGTAATATTTTGTCATCTGGAAAATATGTACATTGTTTTTCCAATGAATATCGATCGAATGATTATATCAGCATTACTACATTTTTCCGCTTAGAATTATGTATAGAGATACAACTGATTTTCAAGTCCTTATTGCATATCTTTTCTTCTATCACGAAACGTTCTGCTTCTGTTTACCCTCCTTGCCTTTTCTTTTTCAGGTTTTGTTTTATCAATACTGTAGATCGATTTCTCGTTTTATTCTCGTTAAATTCTTTGCTTTCATTTTATTTTTCTTTTTTTAATTGAACATTAACATTCATGTCATCATGCGATTTATATCTTTTAAATCTCCATATTATATCTTTTAAATTCAAAATTGAATTTAAAAAAAAAATATATGTTCATTGTGAAAAATATTAAGAATATGTTTAGAAACGTAATTTGAATTTTACCTGGTAACAAAAGATCTTCTAAATAAATACCTACAAAATTTAGAGGTTTAGAGAGTTTAAAATCAATAGGAATTTATGTATAACGTAACCAAATTCTATCTTAAAGTTATTTTTAAAAAAAGAAATAAATTACCAAATTTGAGAATATTTAATAAATTATTTCAATTTATAATAATAAGAAAAAAGAAAATAAAAAGATTATGAAAAATGATTGAGAAAATAATTCGAACAATTGTATAAATATGTTTTCTATTTATTCAAGTAATTCATTAAATATTATGTAGTAGAATATTGAAATATATATAGTTATTTAATTATTTAATTTTATTTTTATCATTTATTTAGTTTAATCATGAATTCTTTTTTTTATAGTTCATTAGTATTCGCAAGCAAGATGTTTATATCAAAATCGAAATATTGAACGTTTTAAAATAATATTAAAAAAAATCATCCACTTATACTTGTTATTTAAAAGTAATTATAAATAACTAATTATACATAATGATTTAAATATGTATTTTAATTAAAATTTTATTAAATATAAATGGTTACAATTTAAACGTAATTATGTTAGATGAAATAATACATAAAAAAAATAATTAATAATCGAACAAATGAATCAGCCAATTTTTATTATTTATTTGTTGATGTGAATAATATATCAATAAATATATCAATATATCAATAAAAATAAATCTTAACCTTAAAATTAATTCAATAATTTATGAATAAATAAATAAATAAATAAATAAAATAAATAATTAATTTATTTATGTATTTATTATATCGCACAATATAATTTGTATATATTTTTGAATTATTCAGAATTTTTTAATAATATGAAAGTAATTTGTGTTTTTTGCGTTTAATTTGCGATTAAGATTAATTAAGCAACTGAAGACATTGCAATGAAAATTAAGAAAAAAAAGAGAGAGAATTAAAAATAAACAGAAACGCAAAAAAAAAAAAATATACAAGATAATGTAAATAATATTTTGATTTTGAACTTTTAAATTTTTTTTATTAAATTTAAAATGATTTTTTTATTTTTTTTTCTAAATGAATCATTAATTTTGTTTTTTAATAAAATTCAACAATAAAAAAAAAATTGTTTTCTATAAAACAATGGAGAACAGATTTTTTTAATATTATAATTATAATTAATAATTATAAAATTATAATTATAATATTAATTATATTATATTATAATATAATTAATAATTATAAAATAATATTAAATGTCTATGTAAAATTTGATTTAAAAATATAATAGTTTATGCAAAAAGTATATTGATTATTTTTTGTATAGAACTTATTCTTCAATATTTTTAATATTCTTTAATATTCTTTAATATTCTTTATTATTTTATACATAAATATTGAATTACTTTTAACTTAAAATAACTTCTTTTTTTTTTTTTTTCTTAATTTTTAAATATTGAACATAAATATAATTCTGATTAATATTAATTTTAATTTTTAAAATTTAAGTAATTAATATTAACTTAACAGCTGCTGTTAATTAACATTAATGAAAATAAGAGAGAATGACAAATGTAACAAAAATAAAAAAAACATGATTTCATTTTTAACAAAGAACTAAGAATTTTTGTAACATCGTTTTAAAATAATCAATAAATGAAAAAACATAATAAACTAATTATTTAATGAACAAAAAACAATAATAATTTTAATATTATGGAACAAAAACAAACAATTTTTTTTTATTTATTTCATTATTATTATTCAAAAAATTAGAAATGAAAATTATAATTCAAAAATATATTTGAATTCAAAGAAAAATTATTTTCATTAGCATTTTTTATTACAATTTTTTTCTCAAAATTAATTTTTGTAGTTATTAATTTTAAAAAAGACTGATAATTTTGATTTTATATATATATATATATATATATATATATATATAGTCAAATTATATATTTATTATATACTATATATATTATATATATTATATATAATATATATAATATATATATATAGCCAATATATTATATATAGCCAAATATTTTCGATTGAATATTTTGTTTTTGTATTTTGTTTCTCACATAATATTTTATAAATTTGAAAATTTAAAAAATAGCATAATAAAAAATTGATTGATAGAATGATTGATTTTAAATTTTTTCTTTTTATATAATTTAAAATATAAAAATAATAAAATAAATACAAAGAATAATAAATTATTTATATTTAAAATAATTATTTATATTTCCTTGTTTTTTGCTCTTTTGATAGTCTTATCTAAATTTTAACTTTAAATTTTAAATAGTTTTAAAAAATTATTCAATTTTATTTATCAAAGTATAAGTTTTTCTATATTGTTTTTATTCTCATATAAAAGTTTAAATATAATGCTAGTTTAATTTTATGTATTTAAGTTTTCCTCTTTCATATAAAATTTCATTGATATATTGTTTAATAAAATAAATAAAATGTATATAATACTAAATGAAAACTATATTTAAAATATTTTTGTTTAAATTTAAAACTAATTTTTCAAATTTTTTTTCTGTAGAATTTTTTTTAAATTTTTTTAAAATTTTTCTAAAATAATTTTTTATTATTTATTTATTTTTTATTTATATTCTTTTAAATTTCTTTTTTCATTTTTTTTATTACTTATTTTTTTTTTGTTTTTTAACATCTATTTTTAATTTCTTTAAATATTGAAATTGTAAGTTTCAATTCTTCAAGTTTTAAATTTTATATGTGAAGAGTACTTTGAATTTTGTATAATTTTTAACATTTGCTTTACATTTACTTTAATTTTTCGCATTTTTCATAATAATTTTTTCTTTTTTTCTTTAAAATAATTTAAATTTTATTTTTTAATTGATTAATTTTATATAATTATATATATTTTATTAATTTGTTTAGTTTTCCAAATTATTCATCTTCTACTTCAAGACTTATTGATATTTTGCATATTCGATCTTGATGATTTTTAATATTTTCTTCTTCAGCTGATACTTGAAATCTAGAAAAATATGAGCATTAATAAAAACAGAAAGCTAAATCAAATTAATCAAAATAATCAAAAAATCAAAATAAAAAAAATAAAATTTGGAAAATTCATAATTTAGAAATTGATAAAAAAGATATTTAAAAAATGAAAAATAAAATATAATGAACAAAATAAAATTTAAAAATATTAAATAAACGTAACAAAAGTACATTATTAGCAGTAA